ACAAATAGAACTGTTCGTGATATTAAGCCGTTCATGCTAGTACATAGTTTTATACTTTTACCTTATTTCTGACACTTATGCACAGTTTTCTCCTCTTGGGAATGGCAAGAGCATGGACTTTGCACTCTCCCCACCCTTGGCTCTGTGTATTCTCAGAAGCTCGCAGAAGGCGTACTGAACTGCCCTCACTGGAGCATTAGGCAGTGAGCCTAGTGAACCACAGCAGGGTATGGACATGCGTTTCTGCAGCCCATACTGCCCGGGGTGAGGGCCCATTAGCAGAACAAGCAGAAATAAGTCACAGGTACAAGGAGTTTAGAATCTGTTTGCCCCATCAGAGGAGTAATTAGAGGTTCCTTGTAGAGTTCGTTGTACTTTTCACGCTGGATTACCTCGAACACTGAAATCATTCTAGAATCTCATCTAATCCAAAGATGAAGGGACTGATCTTGGCGCTAACCATCCTGCTTTTTTTATTAATTTCTTTGTCACCATTCTTTCCCATTGGGTTAAGCCCTCCTTCTTAAGGTCTTCTATCTTCTAGTTCCTTCACCTGCCTTTCCATGGAGACAATCTTTGCTCCTTATTTTGTTTGCTACAGCAATAACCCTTTAACAATGGAGACAGGAAAAAGGGAGGGAATCAAAGAGGGCAAGCAGATGTGAACTAATGTTCTTTGGCCACCCACCACCTGCCAAGCGCTTCCGCTAAGTTATCATGCTTAAAACTTGTAACACTCTGGGTTTGGTGACACTGCCAGCATTTTAAAAAACAGTCAACTGGAACACAGAGGTATGAAGTGACTTTTCCATTAATGCATCAGCAATGGAAGTTACCTCTACCTTCTCTGATGGTACCCACACACACTTTCAATCTGTCTCATTTTATTATTTTGGAATGACTCTAAATTCATCACAAGGGGCCACCTGTTGGCACACGGGTTAAGTTGCAGCACTATGAAGGTATCTGCAGCCACTGCAGCATGACTTTGATGCCCAGACAGGAAGGTGACTCACATGGCACGGCAGACCTCTCCTGTCTTGCCCGCTGCTCTCAGCAGTGTTCGTCAAACTGCCTGTTCTGCTTCCCACTCTGTCTCGGGTGAATCCTCTCACCCACTGCACCTCTGGCCTGCACCCCAGCTCTTGTAAGTATAAATAAATAAATCTTTAAAAAATAAATAAATTCTGGGCCTTCCCTGGAGGCACTGCAGGTTAAAGTACAGCACTGCAAGCTGGCCGCAGCCACTTCAACACAAGTTAGATCCCAGCCCCGGAGGTGACCACACCTCGCAGCAGACCTCTCCAGTCTCCACCGCGCTCCCCTCAGCAGTGTACTTTGTCCATCTGCCTATTATGCTCCCTACTATGTATTTGGTGATTCCTCTCACTGCCCCTGCACCTCTGGCCTGTACCCAGTTCTGTAGGCATAAATAAACTTTAAAAAATAAGTAAATAAATAAATTCCTCACGAGCAATCCCCCTTTGGCTCAAACTCCTTCATGCATCAATCAGACTCTTCCTTCTTCACTTTCCTTTATCAGCCTCAACTCCATGATTCATCATTTCCACCACTCTTGGCAACATCTCAAAAACCTAAATGCTATGAAAAGTTCAGCCCCTTAATTTACCTAATCCACAAAAAGAAAAGAAAAACAAAGACAGGATGATGATTGTGCTAGAGAACAGCACACAACTGTAAAGATTAGTGGCATCTGAATTTGTTATTTCCAGTCTTCACAAAGCCCTCAGCAGCGGCCACTTGATTTCCCCATATACCTCATTCAACAGAAGTCTCAGTGAGGGATACATGCCTGGATCTCTGAGACAGTTTCTAAAACACAATACATACTTGTTAAGTATCTAGTGAAGGAATTAAATAATTGGGGCTAAATTAAGAAAGCAAAGGAGTCAACCAGCTAGGGGTTGTAAAGAGCCAGTAGCTGTGCTGACATTTCAACATTCTGGACCAGCCAGAGGGTGTGCCAGACAGAAAGTAGAATGGAGAATGGAGCTACCAGGGACTCAGGGGAAGAGAAAACAGGGAGCTATGGGTCAACAAGTACAAAGTTTCAGTTATACAACATGGCTATGTCCTGAAGAGCTACTGTACAGCATTGTACCAGTAGTTAACAAAGCTAGAAGCATACTAGAAATGTTTACTAAAAAAGCATATGTTAAGTATTCTTATCATTAAATAAATTTTAAAAACATATTTAGAAGGTAGGATGAAACTTCTGGAAGTTACATTTATGTTCCTGATGTTGATTGTGGTGATGGTTTCATAGCTGAACATTTATCTCCAAATTCATCAAGTAACTGATATTAAATATGTACAGTTCTGTGTATGTTGACCATGCTTTCATGACATTTTCAGATTAAAAAAAAAAAGTAGATCTGCTCTTAAAATATTCTGAAGATGTTTTTTTCCAAAAAGGGAGAAAGGGGAAAGCACCAGAGGGAAATGCAACTTCAAGAATGGAAGAACAGTAGCAAAATTCCTAGGAATAAACAACTAAGGAGACTGAAAACTATAAGACATTGACAAAATAAATTGAAAAAAACAAATAAGTGCAAAGATATCCTGTACTCATGGATTGGAAGAATTAATATTACTAAAAATTCCATACTACCCGAAGTAATAATACAGGTTTAATTAGCTCCATATAAAAACTGCATTGGCATTTTATACAGAAATAGAAAAAACAACCCTAAAATGTACATAGAACCACAAAAGACCCTGAATAACCAAAGCAATTTTGAGAAAGAACAACACTGGAGACATCATGCTTCTTGATTTCAAACTATATGACAGAGCTATAGTAATCAAAACCGTATGCTATTAGCATGAAAATAGATGCCAGTCAGTGGAATAGAACAGAGAGCCCAGAATAAAGGCAAGCATATACAGTCAATTAATTTATGACAGCTGAGTGAGAGTCAAGAATACAAATGGTAAAAGAGCAGTCTCCTCAAAAAAAGGGTATTAGGGAAAATGGGACAGTCACAGACATAAGAATAAGATGAACCACTATCTCACACCATACACAAAAACTAACTCAAAATTAGTTAAATGGAAATATAAGACCTGGGGCCCTACCTGGTGGTACAATGGGTTAAACACAGCACTATGAAGCTCTCCACAGCCACTGCAACATGAGTTTGATCACAGGTCAGGGAGGTGACCCATATGGCATAGCAGACCTCTCCTGACTCACCTCTTGTTACCCTTAGCAGTGTATTTCAGTGACCTGCCTGTTCTGCTCCCCATACTGTCTCTAGTGAATCCTCTCACCTCCTGTACTTCTGGCCTGTATCCCAGTTCGCGTATGCATAAATGAATAAATCTTTAAAAGCAAAAAAGAAAATATAAGACCTGAAACCATTAAATGCTAGAAGATGGAGATAATTTCTTTAACTTTGATCTTGGCAATAATTTTTTAGACTTTACACCAAAAGCAAAGACAAAAAAGTTAAAAAAAAAATCAAGTGGGACTGTATCAAACTAAAAAGCTTCTGTACAGCAAAGAAAATCATCATTAAAATGAAAAAGCAACCTATAAAATGAAAGAAAACATTTGCAAGTCATAACATTTGCAAGAGATTCACATCTAAAATATATAGAGTTTCTGTAACTGAATAGCAAAAACAATCTGAGTAATAAGTGGGCAGAACATCTGAAGAGACATTTTTTCAAGAACACACAGTGAAAACCACAGTAAGGTATTACAACACAGCCATAAGAAGGGCTATTTCAACAAGACAAATAAAAAATGGTGAGGAAACTGGGAAAAGGGAATTCCTGTGCACTGCTGTTAGGAATATAAGTTGTTTCAGCCACTGTGTAAAACAGCCTGGAATTGCTACAAAAAGAACTGAAAATAAAACCACCATAAGATGCAACAATACAACTTCTGGGTATTTAACTGAAGAAAACAAAACACTAACCCGAAGATATATGTGTACCCATGTTCATTTTAGTATGACTTACAATAACCAACATATTATGGAAATGACCTAGATATCCATCAATAGGTGAGCAGATCAAGAGTGGCAGAAAAGGGAATAGAATATTAGTCTATTAAAAAAATCTTGTCATCTGCAAAAAATGATGAGCCTTGAGGACATACTAAATTAAATAGACCAAGATCTCACTTACATGTGGAATTTGAAACACACACAGAGATAAAAAAGAACAGACTGGCAGTTGCCAGAGGCAGGGGTTGGTGTTGAAGTGGATGAAGGTGGTCAAAAAGTATAAATATCCAGCTATAACATAAGTAAGTCTTGGAGATATAATGTACAATGTAACAACGACAGTTAAAAATACTGTTCTATGTATCGGAAAGATGCTAAGAGAATAGATCTTAAAAGTCTTCATATAAAAATACTTGTAGCTGTGTGATGAGGGATGATCGCTTACTGTGGGCATGTCACTATATATAGTCTGTTGTTATGCTATGTACTTAACAATTAATGTAATGTTATATATCATGATATCCCAATCTAAAAATAACGAGCAGTTAAAGTTTTGCTAAACTGCCTCTCCCAAGCTCATCCAACACACACGTCCTGAATTCTGGTATTGATCCAGAACCCTCGCTGGCTCCTGGAGACGCCAGTACAATCCCTAGCCTCCAGAAGCCCATTAGAGCATCTTCTACTCTACTGATCGTCACTACTAAGGGCTTTACACATAAGTAGAATGAAAAATAACAGAACAAACATGTCATGCTTGCTTGGCTCAAACATTAAGAAGAGATGTAAAGAGCTTGCGTTTTCGTTAGTCTCTGGTACGTCTTCTGGTGCCCCCCAAGCATCGAGAGAGGGGATATGCTGCGTAAGGGTGTTCAGGGAAGTCTGTTATCAAGCAGAATCAGAGAAATCGCAGCTGTTGGCTGCACTTCACTGCTCATGGCCTAAAGCCATGAAGAGCGCCAATAAAGGCTGCAGCTCAAGCACGCTTACCCAGACGCGAGGCTTCCTCCCTGGCACCCGGCCATGAAGCTTCTTTTTCCCATCTTTGCCAGCCTCATGCTACAGTACCACGTGAACACAGGTAATGTGGGATTCTGGGGTTAAGAGGGGTGGGTGTGAGCAAGTGGGGATGTGGCTGTTTATGACAATGGGGGCCCAAAGATGCCGAATGATGAGATGGCTGAAGAGATGCACACATCACACACCTTCCCTCACACATCCCTATAAACCCAACTCCAGACCTGGGCCTGAGGGGATTGCAGGGAGTTGCAGAGACCAGGGAGTTGCAGAGACGGCAGTGTTTCCCATGTTCAGAAACTATCCAGTGTGGCTGCTCTGCCCTCCTACTGACACCTAAGTCTGGGACTCAGCCAAACTACCTCTTTTCTGCTGTTTCTAATTCAAACCATATCTCGAAGCAAAGATTTTTATCAGTTCACACACTCAGGTGATAAGGAGATAGTCTTACCCTCATACTGAAAAATATCTCCTCTTAGGAACCAGGAAACAGGTTCTCCATCTCAACCTTTCTCACACTTTTCAGTTTCCTGCCCTCTCTTGTCTTTTTCCTCATGGGACCCCGAAATTACCCTTAAGAGCATCCAGGCGCACACTGTGACATGAGACTTATCCCATGGGGTGGCCATTGTATTTTGAAAAAGAGAAGCAGTAAGACCTGTTTCAGAATGAAAGGATCATCCTGATATTTTGAATAATTGATAATGGGTCAGCAAGGAAGGGAAAGACTCTAAGTTTCTACTGCTTTTATCTTGGGACCCTAAGGAAAGAGGAGTATCATAAGCAGGTGTGACTATTTTCTCGGGTAGAAGCACTTAGCCACTTTGAGCCTCAAATTCCACAGGAGTAGCAGGATTAATCATGTAGCCTCTTGAAATACAAGGATACTACTACTTTTTGTCTTTGGTGATAAAGGATGTTGAAATGTACGAATTAGATGTTACATAAAGCTCTCATTTTTTATGGAAAATCAATAGATTGTTAAGGTAAGTGAGGGAACACTTTTTTTTAAAGATTTATTTATTTATACATACAAAAACTGGGTTACAGGCCAGAGATGGGGGTGGGGGGAGGTGAAAGGATTCACCAGAGACAGAATGGGGAACAGAATGGGCAGACATACTGAAATACACTGTTGAGGAGCGCAGCGGGTGAGACAGGAGAGGTCTGTCACTCCATGTGGGTCAGCTCCCTGCTGGGATCACAGAGAGCTTCATAGTGCTGTGCTTTAAGCTGTTGTGCCACAGGGAGGGCCAGGGAACACTTTCTTGATTCAAAATAAAAGGCGGAGGGTGAGCCAAGAGACACTACGACAGAAAAATTCTCCAGCAGATGAAGATATTAAGGTACTAAGCTGGGAAGGGAATTTAGGAACTAGATAACAATGCAGGAGTCATCTTGTTAGAGAGGTGGTTACGGCTATGATGATAAATAAGACGCAGAGGGACACAGTGTCCAGAGAGGCTGAAAAATGACAAAACACCGCGCCTCAGGAGCCACACACCTTAGGGCACTGTGACTGTGAAGCTCACGAATCACTGGGTCTGGCAAGAAGCAGCGATCCCGAAGTTCTTACGGATTCTCTTTTGAAATTCTATTTTCAGTTACTTTTATGACAGATTTCGCAGATTTTTATGTTGGTAATTTCTAGGCTCATGGGAAGGATGGTGGTGCCCTAAGAGTAACTGAGTTGCTAAATTCAAGGTCTAAGATCCTATCCTGAAGCAAATAACTGGATTCCCTTTTTCTTTTTCCTCTATCTGCCCTAGATTTTTTAAGTCACTCAATGAGGGAAGATCTAGAAAGAAGATTTATTTTGAATTTCAAGTAAGGACAGAGAGTCTGTTGGCCTGCCAGCTGCCCCCACCAGCACGCCTAAACACTGCACCCGAAATTTAACAGACTCCCTCATACCCTAATTCTCTTCCAGTTACTAACCTTATCTCCAGGTACTAACCTTAGCCCAATGATTTTCTCTTTTCTTTGCACAGAATTCCTCATCTTGAGAAGATGTTTAATGGGCTTTGGGAAATGCAAAGACCACTGCAGCATGGGCGAAAAAGAGGTTCAGAAATGCAAGAAGAAAAAATGTTGTATTGGCCCAAAAGTGGTTCAAATGTTAAAAAACTACATACAAAATGAAATGTCCCACGCATTTGAAGAGAACTCCCAAGAACTGCAAAAAACTGCCAAGAATTCTAGGGCTCTACAGACAAAATATCAGGCTTTATTGCTTCTCCCCCAAATGAAAAGTACCTGGCTTTTTGTCAACAGCAGCACCATCAGCACCTCAAACTCCAGCACTGGGAACTCTGCCACCACCAAGCCCAGGTCCTCAAGAAAGTTTACGCAAACTACCGCCACCAGAGATGCCAAAGAAGTCAGAGCCTCAGCGCCAGCCTCCCCGCCACCAGCACCGCCACTGCAGTCGCCCACACACGACTGGCTGGAGGACACAGACCAGCTGGCATCTTTCCCCTAAAACACCAAGTTCCTTTCTCTCTTTGCCCTCTATAAAATGGGACATAGGACTATTTCTTCTGTCATCGGTTACTCAATAAATACCATTTAAGCACTGAGAGTTTACATACTGTTATTCTCACTGGGGCCTCACACAGGAGATAGAGCTGGGAAGGGATGGCTTTTCAGTTTTCGTGGCCGGGAGAAAGCAAGCATAAGGCATGGGGTCCACAGCACTCACCTGTGGCCCAGGTTAGGCCTCTCTGATAGGGATATATGGTTCTCATGTGTTGTGTTTTTCTTGGAGCAATAGGAAAAGATTAGGAGACATGTTTTCTCTTTTAGGGCCTAGGTGCAATGTTACCTTCTCTACAGAACACAACCCAATTCTTGGACCTTTAAGATAATACAGGGTAAAGTGAGGAGACTGGGGAACATGTGTAGGATTCTACTTTAGGTTCAAGGAGTTTTAAACAAGACTCTCGGCGAGTCAACAGGTAATAGAGTGCTGTTTTCAACAGGTAGAGAATGCAGGCCACAAATGCAAGCCATGAAAGTAATTTTGAATTTTATAATCAGCAAATTTTTAAAAGTCAAAAGAACAGATCAAATTATTGATAATACTATTCTATCTCATGCAATAAATCTAAAACATTATTTGACATATGATCAACATAGAAATTATTTAAGATTTTTGTATTCTTTTTTTTTTCTTTGCAATCTTGTATGTGTTTTACTGTTAGAGCACTTTTCAGTTTGTACTAATTACATTCCAAGTGCTCAGCTGGTTAAAGAACTGTAAGGCACAAATAGGACTGTTAGGATTCTGCTAATCCAGGCCAGACAGTCCTGTTGCTGAACGCTGTGGTATAAAGTGTAAGAGAACTGAAAGTCAGAGCTGATGCTCCTGACCTGGCCCTCTGCTCCTGAAACTTTTTAGCTGAGTGGCATGTGACAAACCTCATATTCATATGAAAGCAACTGCTCATTCGTGCATAAAACGGAGAGTAAACATTATGTTCAGCTTTTATTTCCTTACATTCCAGAAAATAGTATCCATTTATTGCCCACATCAATGACACCAACCCCATTCTAGTTTTTTTTTAAGATGTTATTTATTTATGCATACAAGAACTGGGGTACAGGCCAGAGCTGGGGGGTAAGAGGGTTCACCAGAGACAGAGTGGGGAGCAGAAAGGTAGACTGAAACACACTGCTGCTGAGGTCAGCGGGTGAGACAGGAGAGGTCAGCCGCGCCATCCTGCTGGCCAGGACAGAAGTCTGCCGCTTTGGCTGCGGATCACTTCATCCTGCTGAACTTTAACCCGTTGCGCCACCAGGGAGGGCGGGAAGGGCCCACCCTATTCTAGCTTTCAAGCACTTTCTTCTCTGCTCCAGACATCATCTCCTGCAGTTTAAAGACCACTTTCCTGGTTCCCCAGGGGAAACAAGGAGGAGTGATGGGCAAACAGAACACAGGACCAATCGTACAGTGAAGGCAGAAAACAGACTTATGTGGTGGGTGTAATATATGTACGGAGGTGATTTTGTTAGTTGAGGAAACACTGGTTGACAACTCTATATATGATGCAGGGGAGTAGGTTCACACATCCTCAGATGCATGTCATCACACTGCACCTATCACCAAAGCACCCATTTGTAATGCTGATCCCCTAAAGCCTATGTTATAAACCAATGTTACTCCAATCTATTTTTTTCTTATTAATAAAGACCGCCTTTCCCTAACCTCCTGATTCTTTATTGTAATGTCCTGTAAGGAAGGCAAAGGTTTTTCCCAAATGCCATACAGCAATACTAGAATGAAACTTTTTCAAATATGTTTCTAAAAGTTTTTATACCACAGAAAGATGGCCACACAAAGAATAATTTCAACTTCTGTGTTCTCTGAAGAGCCCCAAACAAATCTTATGGGCATTAGATTATCCCTCCAGAGCTACCACATTTATGAAACCCTTCAAAGTTTCCCTTACCTCACGCCTGGGGTGCTGTCTTCACTGCTCACAAAGTGAAGAGAGAGCTTCCTCCTCACCTGTTTTGGGCCTTCTTTTGAGTCCCTGTTTCCCACCATGGAACTCACCTATCTCTTCTCAGGTGGATGCTCCTGGAAACATCCTCTGCCTTCAGGGAAACCCCACATCCGTTGTAACAAATCAGATAAATCTCTAACACCTGTTCTTCCTTTTCCCTAACTGCAGCGATAGAACACTCCCAACGTCAGCTTGGCCCAAGGACAGCAAGAATAGAGACGACATTTGCCAGACAGAAGTGGCCATTCTTCAACGATGGTTTAATCAACTTTTCCACATGTTCAAATTTTTCCAGAATAAAATGTTTTACAAGCCACGCTTCCTAACTGCTTCCTTTTAATACCAGTAAGTACCCAATTCTTGGGTCTCTAAAGTGAACAAGATAGAGTCTCGTTCCCATGGGGATAATATTCTAATGGCAGAGGACAGATATAAACGATAAATAGATTTATTATGATGTAAGACAAAGTCCGTCCTTTAACTAGTCCCATGCTTTGGTCCCGTGGCTTTACGGCAAACCCAAGTTCACACAAGCTGTTCTCAAGTATTGCCTGCGACACTAAGGAGGATGGTGCTGAATTTCCTTCCATCCCTGGTCTCAGCCCTTGCTCAGTGGGTGTGACTTTCTTTCCCACTGGAAGGAACTGTTCTCTTCCATCCACTCTCCTGTGTTACTTTGTCTCCAGTGAAGTATCTGCCCCTTCAGCACAGCAAAAAGCAATTGGCACCTCCATCAGACATGGATCCCCCTGACTCTAATGGGGAACAAAAGCTCGAGTGAGGGGCTAAATGCTCTAGTTCAACCTCTGTTGATTCACAGAACTTTCTGCCCTGGTCTTGGCTTCCTACCTGAACATGACCCCTCAGCAAGCTCACTTAGGGTAAGAAAAAGGAAAACAAAGGAAGGAAGGAAAACAAAGCATAGGAAAAGGGCTGGCCACGTGGGTGGTCTTGGGCTCTAACTTTCAATGGAAACAACAGGGTCCAAGAGGAATTGTTGCTGCCCAGCAACAATGTGTTTTGTAAGGATGGCTCGATGGGCCCAAACCCAAACCTACATCTCCTGATGAAGCACCCAAAGGTGCCATTGGGCCCCCCAAACTTGGCAACCACTTGTAGCACTGGAAGGTGCCCTCACTGGTCCAGCCACACTCTTCTTGATTTCTACACATTAATAGTTTGTCCCAGTAGGCAGTCATTTCCTCCTTGGCAATGATGGGCCCTCTTTGTTTAGGGGAAAAAAGCTTTGAGTTTGTTGAGCTTTAATTTGGGAGCAAGTGGTTCTTGAAGGACTTCCTCCAAGCCTTGAAAGGACTCCCAGGATGTAGAGCCTTGGAATCTGGACCTGTGCTTCATGTCATCATCCACTTTGGGATTTCTCAATTTGGAGTGACTACCTCCTGTCCATCTTTGTCTTTCTGGATAACTTACAGCTGTCCACATGGGTGACTTTTAGTAATCAGAAAAAAGCTAAAGAAGTGAATTGAGGGCCCTCCCTGGTAGCACAACAGGTTAAAGCACAGCACTGCAAAGCTCACCACAGCCACTTCAGTATGAGTTCAATCCTCTGGCGCTGCAGACCTCTCCTGACCTGCCTACTGCTCCCCTCAGCAGTGTACTTCATCAACCTGCCTGTTCTGCTCCCCTCTCTGTCTCTGGTGAATCCTCTCACTGCCCTTGCACCTCTGGCCTATACCTCAGATCTGTATTCATCAATAAATACATCTTTAAAAATAAAAACAAGAAGTGAATTGAAAGAAAAGAACAGGGTAGGCATACTTCAGGAATGATTTACTTGGAGGTATTTTAGCTTATTGACTAAATGATCTCTATGAGATTAAGGGGGTTGTAGTCTATTCCTAATGTACTAAAAATATCTTGTATTTGTTTTTCAAATAAGTTTTAAAATCAGAAACTGAAAATCCTCCCACTTTGTTCTTTCTTTAAATTTGTTTTTGTTTTTTTTTTAACCTTGTTATATAAATTATGCCGTCAGCGTGCTGGTTTCTGCAAAAGAATCCTGCTCAAATTCTGACAGGGATTGTGGTAACTCTGTAGGCAAACATGTGAAGATTTACTTTAATTGCATAATCAGAGAAAAACAAATCAAACCCAACTTAGAAAGCTAAAGCCTCAACTATGGAACAGGACAGCGAACAATGAGCAAGAAGCAAGGACTCTTCTTTGGACCCTAATTCAAGCACCACAGAACTCCAAAGTGTTATGAGCCACATCTTAGCAAACTATCTCCCGACGGACAGATTTCCAAACCCTCCTTGTGAGGAACGCCCAGTGGGAAACGCTGGGGGAGTAGAGCGTCCCTGTAACCCCAAGAAAGGCCACTGAGCAAAGCAGCCGCCACGTACATTTATTAAAAAGTTCCAGGACCTGGCCCTCCTTGGTGGCGCAATGGGGCAGGCGCAGCACTGCAAGCTGGCCCCAGCCTCAGCCGCCTGGGTGCGAGTTCGGTCCCCGGCCCGGAGCTGACCCACGTGGCACAGCAGACTGCTCCTGGCCCGCCCGCTGCTCCCCTCAGCTGTTTATTTCAGTCCGTCGGCCGCTTTTGCTCCCCACTGTTTCTGGTGAGACCTCTCGTCGCTGCCCCTGCACCTCTGGCCTGCACCCCAGTTCTATATGCATAAATGAATGAATGAATAAGTCTTAAAAAAAAAAAAAAAAGGTCAGGGACCCAAAGTTAACCTACCAAATAACACGTCATGCCAAAGGTCACATTAACGCATAGAAAAAGCAGGAATGACATGCTAGATACCAACCGGGCTGTCACAGCAGGTCTCTGCGAGGGTCGGTCTCGCCGCAAGGGTCTCGGCGGGAGGGGTTGCGCGCCTGGCGTCGCTCCCGTCGCAAAACGCCGGCGCGCTTTTCGCCTCTGTCGCAAAAGCGGACTGCTCTTCTGTTTACAAAAATAGGCGCCAACGTAGGTCTCATTAAAGCCACGGGGTAGCGCTCCCTCTGT